TAAGTATGACAACTACGGCATGTACGGCAACAAGTACAACAACTACGGCATGAAATACGACAATAAGTACAACAACAAGTTCGACAACAAGTTCGGCAACAAGTTTGACAACAAGTTCGAGAACAAGTATGACAATAAGTACGAGAACTACGGCATGAAGTACGACAATAAGTACGAGCCCTACGGCATGAAATATGACAATATGTATGGCAATAGGTATGGCAATATATATGACAACAAGTACGACAACGAGTACAAGAACTACGACATGGAGTACAACAAGAAGTACAGCAACAAGTACAACAACTACGGCACAGAGTACGGCAATAAGTATGACAACAAGTATGACAACGAGTACAAGAACCATGGCATGGAGTACAACAAGAAGTACAGCAACAAGTACAACAACTACGGCACAAAGTACGGCAATAAGAATGACAATAAGTACGACAACAAGTATGACAACGAGTACGAGTACGCCAACAGGTACGGCAAGAACTATGACAATAAGTACGATAACTATGGCATGAAGCACGGCAATAAGTACGGCAATCAGTATGACAATCAGTACAACAATAAGTACGACGAGAACTACGGCAATAACTACGGCCATAACTTCGGCAATTATTAGGACAATAAGCACGGCAATAAGCATGAGAATAAGTAAGAGAAGAAGTATGGCAAGAAGTACGGTGAGAAGTACGATGAGAAATACGACAAGAAGCAGTAGGATCTATATGATAACAAGAAGTGTGATGGAAAGAAGTACTGCAACAAATATGCTGAGATGAATTACGACAAGAAGTTTGAAGTATCATGACAATAAGTGCGAGGATTACATGCAGTGAGACGGATGACAGGAAGAAGAAAAATGAATATAGTGACAAGGAGTACAACAAGAAGTACGCAGCTCGGTCCCCCGGTGCCCACTGGAAAGCCGCAGCGGTTGTGCGGTGACTCCCAAAACTATATTCAAAGTCGGGCATTGGTACCGGCAAGAGTCTCAGAAGTCAGTAGGAGTACATAGCCCGAAGCTATTCCACTCAGTTAATCCCTGGGGGCATCCTGGGCAATCAATGCTGGTGGAAACTTGACCTCACTTGATCTCACTTGTAATCATTATCAGTAACAAGTGGACCCCGCCACGGCCACGACGTGGCGCACAGCAACACTCGCTGATGGCGTCTCATTTTTCTTTCATGTTTCTCTTTCTCTCTTCCTCTCTCTCTCTCTCTCTCTCTCTCTCTCTCTCTCTCTCTCTCTCTCTCTCTCTCTCTCTCTCTCTCTCTCT